TGGGTATGAGAGGATTTTTATTCTCCTGATTGCTGATGACCAGGGGGAGGAGAGACAGCTGATCAGATGGAAGGAAAGAGTGTAAGTAATTATTGGTCTATGGTATTCTTCATGCCTTCTCTGCATTTCAAGGCTGGTTTGGCAGAAGTGAAAACAATAATAGGTCAGTTTCAAACTTATTTTTGAGTTAGAAATGCTGGTGATGTGGAAGCACCTGTTGTTAGTTCATCTATGACAATGTGTTTTGTCCAAGTAGTAACAGGCACACTAATTCCTTCTCTTCAGGTGTAAACCTACTGATCACCCAAAAGGAGGTGTAGAGATAAGGCATGCTACACAAAACACTCTTTCTCCTATACACAATTTGGTGTGCAAAGGCTAAAGCAGGCATGACATGAGTAGTCTACTGGAACTAGAGCAGTTTCAGAAGAGTAAACAAAATGGGGGAAATAGAATGGGGAAGGACATCAGGTTCTCTCCTATACCACCTCTATGCATAGCCTTTTAACATAAAAAATAAATCAGAAAATCCAATTCATACCATATGTGGTCTGATATGGGACTAAGCCCCATTAAAGCAGCAATGCTTAGTTTTCTGAATTCATGCAGGGGCTTTGGCAGTGTGCACAGTAAATGTCCAGATGGGATGCAACTCAGACATCATCTGCCACGATCAGGGATACCAGAACCACAGTGCAGAAATCTAGATGACCATTATATGGCAGCAAAGAGATATGTGAAAAACTCAAACTCTTTATTGTCATTAAGTGGTAGTCTGGATTTTTGTAACCCAAATCAGTTAGCCCTAATATGTCTGCTTCAGTACCTCAGCACCTAGTTGCCACCATCTAGGATTAAGATTCCAGCCTTCCTGTTCAGCTCTGTTTTATTTATTTAAAACAAGCACCAGAACACTAGACTTCTTTCATTCCTTTTCTTAACAGCACCCGGTATGATTTCCCCCCGTTTCTGCCCTCTGCTTCTACTCCAGGAAAAGACTCTGGGCAGCATCTTATTGTTTGCCTTTTGGAGCAGCTGCTATTGCAGCTTCACTTCCCAGAACTGCTTGCTCGTGTTTGTTCCTGGCTACTTATGGCAGCTGCTCTGGGGCAAGGAAAACTCACTCCCTCCCTCCCTGTGTTGCAGCACATACAGACACTGCTTGTTCCCAACCTCAGACTTACTATCTCTGTGATCATCTCTCGCTGGGAAAAGAGATAAAGGAGACTTACACTGGAGTTCTGAGGCTATAACATTCAGGCATAGTAGGAAGATCTGCCAAGAACTCACCTCTGACATAAAATTATGCAGACTGATCTCGCAGGCTAGCCAGTATTAAACACTGAGAGATAGGGAAGATGGGGGCACCAGTTTGACTTTTTTTTTTCCCTGCCAGACACACCTTACATAAGAAACAGAAGTGACATTATAATAATAATATAATATAATATAATATAATATGTACACATTTGTACTTTAGCACTTTATTTGATCCATTTCTAGTAACCATTTTGTGGTTCACAACTTATCACTATTAATAATGATTATGATGATGAACATGTCAGTACTGCCTTGAATGCAGCCTGCAAGGGAGTTTTTATTTATACACACACACCCACATAATCACTTTGTTCCTGAAATGGCAATATAGTGTGGAAATTGAGTAGCTTGTTCAGTTTACTTTTCAAACAAGTATTGTTTGAACTCTCCAAAGCTGCCATAACACACTGAAAAGAGCATAGATAAATTAAAATGTAAATAAAAAAATAGAGCTTGAATAAATTAACACAGGATGTATACTCTATACTATTTGCTACTACTTCAATCACACTAATACATAAGTAATGCAAACTCATACAACCATTGCTTTCACTGCATTCTTAGCAGAGCTGTGCACTCTTCAAAAATTATTTGGAAGAGGTGCTTTGGACCTCTTGCAAGCCCGGCACCTGTTATTTATTAATGCAGCTTGTCTTTCAAAGCCTGGGGGGGAAGTTGTGGTTGCTTTAAGAGTTGTGTTAACTTTAATGAGTCAGTTCCTTAAAACAGCAGCATCTTTTTTCAGGTTCCATAGCAACCTGGAAAAAAAAAAAAAGATGGCTGCTTCAGTTAATAGCAGAGAGAGAGGTTGCCTTGTGCTCACAAGAGATCCAAATCACTTCTTCGAAATCATTTTTGAATTACTCTGAATGCTGCCAGTGTGAAGAATCTGGATCTCATGCATAAATAAGTAACCACTGTAAATTTACTGGGTTATGGATTCTTTAAATAAGGCCCTAAATGTTACTGTTTCATCTTTTATATGAAATAATATTTTCTGCAGCAACATCTATGATGCAAGTGCACACACACACACATGCACACACACAAAATGTTCTGAGAAATTTCAGCCAGCCAGTATTCATAGTGCACCCATCCCTTCTGAGCATTTAGGGTTGTATATGCACATCACTTTTTACATGCTTATTATGGGAAAATGTCATTCCAGCTGCAAAATACACAATGGTTGCATAAAGTGTGCCTTACACAATCACTATACAAAAGGCTTTCTATTTCCTCCACTCTGCATTCCTCCACTCTGCACACTATGGGGCTGTTCCAGCCTGCACATCACATTTCTTACGTCCTAGCAAAATGTCAGGAGTTGAGCCACAATTGGAGCCCATAATTTTACTCAGAAGGCTTCCTCAATCTTCTGTTTTCTTGCAAAACCAACTCCTTCCCTTAAGAGTTGTGGCGGCAGCACATCCAGTCATTGGTTCATTCAGTAACCTGACCTGTTTCCCTGAGCCCTGAGGCACCAAATTAAGACAAAGGAGGAGGACGGGTTCTTGTTCTTCTGGTTCCCAATGTTTCTCTTCCCTGCAGCTCTTCTGGAAAGGGCAAGTAAGGATAGGATGGAATGTTGTCCTTGGGCAGCGGTGGGGGGGGGGGAATAACAACTAAGAATGCACTGGACAATGAAACACCAAACCTTTCCCTAGTCTAAAGGCATTCAGCCAAACACTACGAAATGCTGAAGTTGGAGGGAGGGACACCTTCAGCAAAGCAAACGCTTTTAAACATTTATATTTAGATTTCTGTCATCCATCTCCTCAGAGATTGGGAAATGCCTTTGGACTGACATAAGTGCAATAAGAGGGTTTCCCAGGCTGCTTCATGGATGTTTTAGCTCTCCCGACAAATGCCAACACATTTCTGTGGTAGCTTTGTAGGTACCTGAGTTAATAAGAGGGAGAAGATTTTCTTCCAGCTAGGCTGTGGAAAAAGTGCATGAGACTCAGGAGTTACAAGGGGCACTTCCAGATAGATGGCCCTTACTGCTACCAACCAAAGGACACTGGGCAGCTAATTCCATTTTTGATTATTTTTTAAAAAGCAATAGAAGAAAAGAAGGGTTTGGAAGAAGTCATGTGGAGCTCAGTAAAATTCCACCAACAAAGCACAGCAATCTCTGCTAAAAGTCTGATCTGGAAGCAGATTTTGTATTCACAGGTTTTACCCCACAGTGTTGATTTCCTCCTGCCCCTTCAACCCATAGAGGCCCCAAACAGCTGATAACAAATCCTATTTCTCCATTTGCTATGGGAGCTCCTTGGACCATCAGCAGTCCAGTACATAATATGGGGCTGCTGACATTCTGGGTAGCTAGCAGGTATGCAAATATGGACAATTCAGCATTGCGTACTGGCAAATGCTTTGTGATCCCTTCGTCGCAGAGCCCTACTTATGAGGCTCAAACGAAACCTCTCCCCAGACCATCAGAATGGCATTATTTGCCAAACACGAACTTCTCAAAAGGAAACGTTGAGCTGTGCCACTCGGGTGACCTGAGAAGCCCTTTCCGTGTTCCCCATGCCAGTAAACGTCCCTCCCACATCCCAGGAAGGGCGCCCTCTAGCGTGGTCATCCACGCGGGTTCTCACGTATCGTTACAGTAGTAGAATATGAAAGAGGAACTGGCGGAGGGGGGAGGGAAACCGAACTTTGAAAAGATGGCTGTTTTCGAAGAAATGCAAAACAGTGACTGGAAGAGCCACAGAACCGCATTAGGAATGAAGGAATTTGAGGCGACACGCGAGTTTGCTTGACCACCTGCACGCCGCCCAAGGCCGCCACGTCTCTCTGACGCTCTTTCCCAACCTCTTTTCCCGGGAAAGGGCTTCTTGCCCGGCCACTGGAAAAGAGCGCCGCGCCGCGCGTGGAAGTCCTCCGCTCGCGCCTCCCCTAAGATCGCCCCTCAGAGGGAAAGGCGGCCGCCTCCGCCCGCGAGCCGCAGGTCTTCCTCGCCAAGGGAGCGACGTGACTCCGGCCCTCCCGCTGGTTCCCTCGAGCGAGCGCGGCGGGCCGAGAAGCGGCTA